CCCCCCTCCGTTCCTCGCCCTTTGCTGTCCCCCTCGGTTCCTCCCCCTTTGCTGTCCCCCATCCGTTTCTCCCCCTTTGCTGTCCTCCCTCCGTTTCTCCCCCTTTGCTGTCCCCCCTCCGTTCCTCCCCTTATGCTGTCCCCCATCCGTTTCACCCCCTTTCTTGTCCCCTCTGTTCCTCCCCCTTTGCTGTCCCCCACCGTTCCTCCCCTTCGCTGTCCCCCTCCGTTCCTCCCCCTTTGCTGTCCCCCCCGTTCCTCGCCCTTTGCTGTCCCCCCTCGGTTCCTCCCCCTTTGCTGTCCCGCCACCGTTCCTCCCCCTTTGCTGTCCCCCTCCGTTCCTCCCCCTTTGCTGTCCCCCTCCGTTCCTCCCCTTTGCTGTCCCCCATCCGTTCCTCCCCCTTTGCTGTCCCCCTCCGTTCCTCCCCTTTGCTGTCCCCATCCGTTTCTCCCCCTTTGCTGTCTTCCTCCGTTCCTCCCCCTTTGCTGTCCCCCCCGTTCCTCCCCCTTTGCTGTCCCCCCTCCGTTCCTCCCCTTTGCTGTCCCCCCACCGTTCCTCCCCCTTTGCTGTCCTCCCTCCGTTCCTCCCCTTTGCTGTCCCCACCGTTCCTCCCCCTTTGCTGTCCCCCTCCGTTCCTCCCCTTTGCTGTCCCCCCTCCGTTCCTCCCCCTTTGCTGTCCCCCCTCCGTTTCTCCCCCTTTGCTGTCCCCCATCCGTTTCTCCCCCTTTGCTGTCCTCCCTCCGTTTCTCCCCCTTTGCTGTCCCCCCTCCGTTCCTCCCCTTATGCTGTCCCCCATCCGTTTCACCCCTTTGTTGTCCCCCCTCTGTTCCTCCCCCTTTGCTGTCCCCCCACCGTTCCTCCCCTTCGCTGTCCCCCTCCGTTCCTCCCCCTTTGCTGTCCCCCCTCCGTTCCTCGCCCTTTGCTGTCCCCCCTCGGTTCCTCCCCCTTTGCTGTCCCGCCACCGTTCCCCCCTTTGCTGTCCCCCCCCGTTCCTCCCCTTTGCTGTCCCCCCTCCGTTCCTCCCCCTTTGCTGTCCCCCATCCGTTCCTCCCCCTTTGCTGTCCCCCTCCGTTCCTCCCCCTTTGCTGTCCCCCATCCGTTTCTCCCCCTTTGCTGTCTTCCTCCGTTCCTCCCCCTTTGCTGTCCCCCCACCGTTCCTCCCCCTTTGCTGTCCCCCTCCGTTCCTCCCCTTTGCTGTCCCCCACCGTTCCTCCCCCTTTGCTGTCCTCCCTCCGTTCCTCCCCCTTTGCTGTCCCCCTCCGTTCCTCCCCCTTTGCTGTCCCGCCTCCGTTCCTCCCCCTTTGCTGTCCCCCTCCGTTCCTCCCCCTTTGCTGTCCCCCTCCGTTCCTCCCCCTTTGCTGTCCCCCCACCGTTCCTCCCCTTTGCTGTCCCCCTCTGTTCCTCCCCCTTTGCTGTCCCCCCACCGTTCCTCCCCCTTTGCTGTCCCCCTCCGTTCCTCCCCCTTTGCTGTCCCCCCTCCGTTTCTCCCCTTTGCTGTCCCCCTCCGTTTCTCCCCCTTTGCTGTCCCCCATCCGTTCCTCCCCCTTTGCTGTCCCGCCTCCGTTCCTCCCCCTTTGCTGTCCCCCTCCGTTCCTCCCCTTTGCTGTCCCCCTCCGTTCCTCCCCCTTTGCTGTCCCCCACCGTTCCTCCCCCTTTGCTGTCCCCCCTCCGTTCCTCCCCCTTTGCTGTCCCCCTCCGTTCCTCCCCCTTTGCTGTCCCCCCTCGGTTCCTCCTCTTTGCTGTCCCCCATCCGTTTCTCCCCCTTTGCTGTCCCCCCTCCGTTCCTCCCCCTTTGCTGTCCCCCCTCCGTTCCTCCCCCTTTGCTGTCCCCCCTCCGTTCCTCCCCTTTGCTGTCCCCCTCCGTTCCTCCCCCTTTGCTGTCCCCCCTCCGTTCCTCCCCCTTTGCTGTCCCCCCTCCGTTCCTCGCCTTTTGCTGTTCCCCCTTCGTTCCTCCCCCTTTGCTGTCCCCCTCCGTTCCTCCCCCTTTGCTGTCCCCCTCCGTTCCTCCCCCTTTGCTGTCCCCCCTCCGTTCCTCGCCCTTTGCTGTTCCCCTTCGTTCCTCCCCTTTGCTGTCCCCATCCGTTCCTCCCCTTTGCTGTCCTGCCTCCTGTCCGTTCCTCTCCCTTTGCTGTCCCCCCTCCGTTCCTCCCCCTTTGCTGTCCCCCCTCCGTTCCTCCCCTTTGCTGTCCCCCCCGTTCCTCGCCCTTTGCTGTTCCCCCTTCGTTCCTCCCCCTTTGCTGTCCCCCTCCGTTCCTCCCCATTTGCTGTCCCCCCTCCGTTCCTCCCCCTTTGCTGTCCCCCTCCGTTCCTCGCCCTTTGCTGTTCCCCCTTCGTTCCTCCCCCTTTGCTGTCCCCCCTCCGTTTCTCCCCCTTTGCTGTCCCCCCTCCGTTCCTCCCCTTTGCTGTCCCCCCTCCGTTCCTCGCCCTTTGCTGTCCCCTCGGTTCCTCCCCTTTGCTGTCCCCCTCCGTTCTTCCTCCTTTGCTGTCCCCCATCCGATTCTCCCCCTTTCCTGTCCCCCCTCCGTTGCTCCTCCTTTCCTGTCCCCCCTCCGTTCCTCCCCCTTTGCTGTCCCCCCTCCGTTCCTCCCCCTTTGCTGTCCCGCCTCCGTTTCTCCCCTTTGCTGTCCCCCATCCGTTTCTCCCCCTTTGTTGTCCCGCCTCTGTTCCTCCCCCTTTGCTGTCCCCCACCGTTCCTCCCCTTTGCTGTCCCCCCTCCGTTCCTCCCCCTTTGCTGTCCCCCCACCGTTCCTCCCCTTTGCTGTCCCCATCCGTTTCTCCCCCTTTGCTGTCCCCCTCCGTTCCTCCCCATTTGCTGTCCCCCTCCGTTCCTCCCCCTTTGCTGTCCCCCCTCCGTTCCTCGCCCTTTGCTGTTCCCCCTTCGTTCCTCCCCCTTTGCTGTCCCCCCTCCGTTTCTCCCCCTTTGCTGTCCCCCTCCGTTCCTCCCCCTTTGCTGTCCCCCCTCCGTTCCTCGCCCTTTGCTGTCCCCCCTCGGTTCCTCCCCTTTGCTGTCCCCCCTCCGTTCTTCCTCCTTTGCTGTCCCCCATCCGATTCTCCCCCTTTCCTGTCCCCCCTCCGTTGCTCCTCCTTTCCTGTCCCCCTCCGTTCTCCCCCTTTGCTGTCCCCCTCCGTTCCTCCCCCTTTGCTGTCCCCCCGTTCCTCGCCCTTTGCTGTTCCCCCTTCGTTCCTCCCCCTTTGCTGTCCCCCATCCGTTCCTCCCCTTTGCTGTCCTGCCTCCGTTCCTCCCCTTTGCTGTCCCCCTCCGTTCCTCCCCTTTGCTGTCCCCCCTCCGTTCCTCCCCCTTTGCTGTCCCCCCTCCGTTCCTCGCCCTTTGCTGTTCCCCCTCCGTTCCTCCCCCTTTGCTGTCCCCCTCCGTTCCTCCCCCTTTGCTGTCCCCCCTCCGTTCCTCGCCCTTTGCTGTCCCCCCTCGGTTCCTCCCCCTTTGCTGTCCCGCCACCGTTCCTCCCCTTTGCTGTCCCCCCTCCGTTCCTCCCCCTTTGCTGTCCCCCCACCGTTCCTCCCCCTTTGCTGTCCCCCCTCCGTTCCTCCCCCTTTGCTGTCCCCCCTCCGTTTCTCCCCTTTGCTGTCCCCCCTCCGTTCTCCCCCTTTGCTGTCCCCCATCCGTTCCTCCCCCTTTGCTGTCCCGCCTCCGTTCCTCCCCCTTTGCTGTCCCCCCTCCGTTCCTCCCCCTTTGCTGTCCCCCTCCGTTCCTCCCCCTTTGCTGTCCCCCATCCGTTTCTCCCCTTTGCTGTGCCCCCTTCGTTCCTCGCCCTTTGCTGTCCCCCCTCTGTTCCTCCCTTTTGCTGTCCCCCCTCCGTTTCTCCCCTTTGCTGTCCCCCCTCCGTTCCTCGCCCTTTGCTGTCCCCCCTCCGTTCCTCCCCTTTTGCTGTCCCCCCTCCGTTTCTCCCCCTTTGCTGTCCCCCATCCGTTTCTCCCCCTTTGTTGTCCCCTCTCCGTTCCCTGCCCTTTGCTGTCCCCCCTCCGTTTCTCCCCCTTTGCTGTCCCCCATCCGTTTCTCCCCTTTCCTGTCCCCATCCGTTTCTCCCCCTTTGTTGTCCCCCCTCTGTTCCTCCCCCTTTGCTGTCCCCCATCCGTTTCTCCCCCTTTGCTGTCCCCCTCCGTTCCTCGCCCTTTGCTGTCCCCTTCCGTTTCTCCCCCTTTGCTGTCCCCCCTCGATTCCTCCCCCTTTGCTGTTCCCCCTCCGTTTCTCCCCCTTTGCTGTCCCGCATCTGTTTCTCCCCCTTTCCTGTCCCCCATCCGTTTCTCCCCCTTTGTTGTCCCCCTCCGTTCCTCCCCCTTTGCTGTCCCCCCACCGTCCCTCCCCTGTGCTGTCCCCACTCCGTTCCTCCCTCTTTGCTGTCCCCCCTCCGTTCCTTCCCCTTTCCTGTCCCCCTCCGTTCCTCCCCCTTTGCTGTCCCCCTCCGTTCTTCCCCCTTTGCTGTCCCCTCCGTTTCTCACCCTTTGCTGTTCCCCATCCGAAATAATCTTCTACGGTTGCAGATTTTTGTATAAATTTGTGTTTCCTGTCTAAGTGCACGCTATTTGCTCTTCCTGTTATGCCTATGTTTGTTGGATTTTGCAGATAGTCCATATTTCGAAGATTCGTTTTGGGTCACGTTTCGTGTGAGCGCTCGTGTACGTAATTGTTAATCCATAATAAAATTAATGGTAGTTTTTAGAATCAATTGTGATTTGGGTATACCTAAAGGAAGGTGTTCACGAGGCGAAATGTGCTTGTTGGTGAAATTGTCTTTATTGTATTTATGAACCATGGCATATTGTTCGTCATGAAAATGGCAGCAGGGTATTGTGGTTATGTGTAACCTTTGGTTTGGTACTTTGCCTAATTTAGGTGCACAAAAAAGTTGTCATAAGATGTGTCACTCCTTTCACAAATCTCGCATTCAAGCATTTCATATTTCCAAGGAATAATTTGTGCTCGTCACCACAGCATCACTGTGGTTGCCTTGCAATGTCTCCGCATATCTTGTTCTCCGTCTCCCTCTCCTATTTTCTCCTCTCAATATCACTCCTCTTTCTTTCGTCTCTCTCTCTCTCTCTCTCTCTCTCTCTCTCTCTCTCTCTCTCTCTCTCTCTCTCTCTCTCTCTCTCTCGCTCTCTCTCTCGCTCTCTCTCTCTCTCTCTCTCTCTCTCTCTCTCTCTCTCTCTTCTCTCTCTCTCTCTCTTTCTCTCTCTCTCTCTCTCTCTTCTCTCTCTCTCTCGTTCTCTCTCCTCTCTCTCCTCTCTCTCTCTCTCTCTCTCTCTCTCTTCTCTCTCTCTCTCTCTCTCTCTCTCTTTCTCTCTCTCTTTCACTCTCACACTCAACCCTTCGATCACTTTTCCCCCGCAGTCCTTATTCGTCCGAATCTACAAAACGCCACTGCAACACGGCTTGTGCCTTCCAACTTCTCGTACGTATCATTTCCTTCCTTCTAGCTTTCACCCCTTTCATTCCTGTTCTCAACTTCTCTCTCAAAATGTCCCTCTCTTTTGCTCTCTCAGTTTCTCCATTTTTTCCTCTCCCTCTCTCAATACAAATACTCTTCTTCAATCTCACGTTACTCCCTATCTCTCTCTATATCTCTCTCAATGTCTCTATCTCTCTCTCTCTCTCTCCTCTCTCTCTCTCTCTCTCTCTTCTCTCTTCTCTCTCTCTCTCTCTCTCTCTCTCTCTCTCTCTCTCTCTCTCTCTCTCTCTCTCTTCTCTCTCTCTCTCCTCTCTCTTCTTCTCTCCCTCTCTCCTCTCTCTCTCCTTCTCTCTCTTTCTCTCTCCTCTCTCTCTCCCTCTCTCTCTCTCTCTCTCTCTCTTCTCTCTCTCTCTCTCCTCTCTCTTCTCTCTCTCTCTCTCTCTTCTCTCCTCTCTCTCTCTCTCTCTCCTCTCTTCTCTCTCTCTCTCTCTCTCTCTGTATTCCTGTGTTTTGAAGTGTAGACAAGTTTCTTTTATTGCGGTACTTATACGACCAATGTGTTTGCAAACTTTATCTATATAGTAAATGTTTCACATCTAGCAATATTTGTTTGCGTGAACATTCTACAGAGTTAGATTTTTCCCATGGCTTCAACATGTTCATCTTCTCCGATGATCATCACCGGTGGAACACTAGTCGGTGGTTTGAGAAGGTGTATCGCTCGAGGCTGATACAGATTATTGGTGATGGAAATTGCCTATATCGAGCCTTGTCAAAATGGTTGCATAACACGCAAGAAAGGTATGAGGAGGTCAAAGATAGGCTATTGAGACATGTGGTTGCGAACTGGAGAAATCCAGAATTCGAGTACTGGCTCGTCGCAAGAAGCGCATTCGATAGACCGTTTTTATCAGGTATCGATTATTACACACACGCCTCTAAATCTGGTGAATGGGGATCTATCAATGAGGTGAAGGCGTTTTCAGTTGTTTTTTAACGTGACGGTCATTGTTTGGGTAAGAAAAACCCATTTTTGGGCATGTTTTCGGGCGCGCAACCCTACCACATTTCATGGCGTACTTCATTTGAATTTTGATATCGATGCGAGCCATTATTCTCTTCTACTCCCTTCAAACAATGGAAGTTTATATGGCTCCAGATACGCGTCAGTTGAACCTGAGACAGCTACTATAGCACGAGCTAATAATGACAGTAATTCTCGTGGTGTGGGTAATAGCCTAAAGGAAGTAAAAGATAACGTAGATAACAGTAAGCAGGGAACAAGTAGTTCGTGCAATAAAAGGCGAGATCATCATGATGACGCAGAAACTACCATCGCTAGCAGTCGCACTTGTCATCACACGCAACCAATCCGTGCTACATCAAATGTTAACAATGGATCTCACCAATATAAGAAGAAAGATTCACGTAATTCGATGACCATGTTATGTCTTTGTAGGAAATTAGTGGAGCATCATAAACCACGAAGCACGCACTTTATAGGTGTAAGACGTACAGCAAAGGGTTTTAAATTTTTGGTGAATTGTAATGGCAAACGTTATACGCATTCAGGTTTTGCGCACGACATAGATGCCGCATTGGCGAGAACATATTTCATTTGTAGCAAACTTCGTGAACATAAAAAATATATACTTGATCTAACAAACGGGGTTCTAGATGATAGCGGTGGCCTTATCGCGCATCTAGAGCTCGACGATATTTTCAAGGACGATAACATTGAAGCAGTACCGGTAAAACAAAACAAGGATCAATATACGGAGAAGTTTTTGCAGAAATGCAAAGATGGACCCGATTTTTCATGCCCGTCATGTGGAACAATGTGTTTTCAACAAAACGTGGCAAAGGCGAAGCACGGAAATGCGGAACAAATCGTGTGTCAAAGTTGTGCACGTTACATTAGGAAAGGAAAGGATCCGCCATTTTTTACGTTAAATAAAGTAGGCTTTCCGTCTCAACCCGTTGAACTCAAAAACCTTACAACGCTAGAAGAGCGTTTAATAAGTCCGCGCATACCATTTATGAATATACGTTCATTGTCCATTGGAAAACAGTACGGTATACGAGGCGGAGTTATCAACATTCCAGTTGAAGTTAACCAGATGGTATCCTCATTACCGAGGTTGCTCGATGATACACATACCGTTACGGTCAGATTGAAACGCAAGATGGAGTACAAACATAGCGCATTTGAGGAAAACGTGAGGCCTGCTAAAATCTTGAAAGCGATAAACTTCCTTTGTAGACAACAACTTTTTACTGACAACAAAATTGTCTTAAACAAAATTAATTTGAACCGGTTAAGCACTATACACAGCAAACCACGTATGGACAATGCGAATTCAGCCAATGCCGAAAGCGATTCTTCATCAAGAGAGTCAAGTGATAGCAACGATACGAATAGCGTAAACGTTGGTGTACTCGACACTCTTATTACGCAAGAGCCTTTTTATCAGCATCCATCACAGAGCTTGGTGCAAATGGCACCAGGAGAGCAATCAAAACCATTGTCCATAATATTAGATAAAGATGTCGAAGAATTGAGTTTCCCAACAATCTATGGTGGTAATCATAGAGTGCGTGCAGCAACAGACTTGCATGTATCGTATTCGGATATTGCAAAGTGGGAACTAAAGCATAGAAATGGGCGATGCTCATCAAATATATCCAACATTTTTTTCAAAATGTATAAAAAAGAGATATTACAGGTGCAAAATGTAATTGCCACGCGTGTACGACAAGACAAAATTAGGAATCTAGAAGCATTTACCGCGACAGATATGTTGAACGAAAATAAGCGTTTCACGCTTCAACAAAACGATACCTTATATAATGATTTTAAGGTCATCCGTTCAACACAACAATACAGAGACAATTGCAAGCGCGATCTTTTTGCACTTTTGCGTCAAATCGGTAGGCCAACGTTCTTTATAACCATGTCAATGGCAGATACCCGCTGGGTTGATCTTCATGCGATACTTTTAAGAGTAAATACATTACGTGGGAATCCGTGTAAATTGCCGTCCGGTATAGGCTTACCGTTACAGTATAGTACGATTACCACGTTGGTAAGAAATGACCCTGTGACTTGTGCACGATATTATGCTCATAGAAAGAGATTGCTGTTTTGTTATATGTTGAATAAGAAGTCAGACGTTCTTGATGGAATCGATGACTATTTTGCACTTGACGAATTTCAACATCGTGGCGCGCCGCATACGCATGCCGTTGTTTGGAGTAAAGGTGCGAACGAGATTGGCATCGTTGGAGCGGACGCTATTATAAGGTACGCAGATAAACATATTAGTACGAGCTCTAGAGGCTTACATCCACAATTGCTGTCGTTACAAACACACAAACACTCAAGAACTTGCCAACGATCGAGTTCCTTACGTAAGTGTAGGTTTGGTTTTCCAAGATTTCCGTTACCTTCAACGATGCTTTTACATCCCATTCCTGCTACCCTCTCTGTACGGGAGCGACAAAAATTGGCGAGTGATGCAAGACGCGTTAAGGAGTGGCTCGATGGTGCATCGTCCGGAAGTAATATCACTTTCACTGTCTTTTTGCAAAAGGTTAGTCTTGTTTTCGATGAATATCTGCTTGTTATCCGGTCGTCACTAAAGCGAACAACACTTATTCTACGTCGTCAGGTAAGTGATGTCTACATAAACAATTATAATCCCACCCTTCTCAGAATGTGGAATGGGAATATGGATATTCAGTTGTGCATTGATCCATATAGCGTGGCAGCGTACATTGTATCGTACATGACAAAAGCAAATAAAGGTATGAGTACCATGATGCAAAAGGCTTTAGCATACGCTCGTAATAAAAAATCAGGAATAAAGGGAATTCTTCGTACCATTGGAAACGCTATGTTGAATTCTCAAGAAATAAGCGCACAAGAAGCATGCTATTTGCTACTTGGGTTACAGTATCGCATGTCAACACGACAAGTCATCTTCATTAATACATCACCACATAATGAACGACTACTAACCCTTAAATCTATTAATAAATTGCGCCAATTAGAATCAACGAGCACGGACGTGTATGAACCCTACGCATGCATTCAAAAGTATAAGTTAAGGCCTGAAGCTATGGAACATACGTGCTTGGCCGATTTTATTTCAAAGTATGAATTGGCCCCATACGATTCGAGCAAGCATAAATTACACTTGATTGGTCCTGACTTAACTAAGGAAAAGAGATTCTATTATAAGCGCGGAAAGTCTAAGATAATAAGATTTGTGAATTATCATAAGAATCAGAATTATAACAATTATATTCGAGAGAGGGTTTTATTGTTTCATCATTTTCGAGAGGAGCCAATCGACCATGCTGAATGTTCTGATGCATATCACAGATTTGAGCGAGATATTATTGCGAAAGAGCAAGAGTTCACGAAAGAGTTAGATACATGGGCTGATGCATTCAAAGAAGCCGAACAAGCCAACGATGATCGCATATCAATTGAAACACAAGATTCAAATGATATAGTTGACCATATCGATCTTGCAAACGAATTGAATATGCAAGATGTTGTTAAAAAGAGCACTGATTTGTTCAAGCATATCAACGTTGACAGTTCGGAATATATGCTGCTGGAGAAGATATTAAATGCGGAACAACGCGCGATTAGTGATCATGTCGTGCATCACATACGGAAAAGTTATACACCGCTTCGTCTGTTTATATCTGGTGGAGCTGGAGTGGGAAAATCGGTTCTCATTCGAGCTTTGACGGAAAGGATTACACGGATGTTTAACGCAACGATTCATTCTGACCCTACATCTCTCAAAGTGTTGAAATTGGCGCCATCCGGAGTTGCTGCTTTTAACATAAGTGGGTACACTATTCATAACGCTTTAATGATTCCAGTTACGCAAAACCGAACAATATCAAATCTATCATCAGAACGAGTGAACACGCTACGGTCCAATTTATGTGACGTGAAGGTTGTTATAGTCGATGAAGTTTCAATGCTTGGCGAGCACACATTTCGATGGTTGGATTGGCGGCTAAGGGAGTTACGAGGAAAACAACACATCCCGTTTGGAGAATTACATGTCATATTTGTAGGAGACTTTTTTCAGTTACCACCGGTAGCCGATAGATACTGTTTTGCAAAGACAAAATCATTGAATACAATGGTTGAAGATAACGTATGGGAGCTTTTCTCAATGGTTGAGTTAACAACTATAATGCGTCAAAAAGATGAGACCGAGTTTGCCGCACGCTTAAACAGATTGCGAGAGGGAAAACACACTAGAGAGGATGTCGATTTCTTCTTATCGTTGAATACGTATGGCGAGCAAAAATTAAGTGTCCAACATATTTTTGGAAGAAACGCAGATATAAACGAATTCAACAATAGAAAGTTTGAGCTAACGCACAACGAGAAGCATATCATACAAGCATACGACTTACATCTATTTGACAAACGTTCCACTCGATGTAAGCGACCATCAGGGAGCGCACCAAAGGATCCGAAAAAAACTGCGGGTCTTTATGCAACCTTATTCCTGT